TCTAAAGCTGCTGGCTTGAAAATCAGACCAGTCTGAAGTGCTACATTTTAGAATGATCATCTAAAGAGAAAAGAAACTGGGAAGCTGGTAATCTGTAGTGTCGAAGCTGCATGCAGTTGAATACCTGGAAGCTTATTCTGATGAATCTGGTTCAGGCCACCTGTGGGTTTGCAAGCATGGATTTGCTCTCGTGAGGCTCACTCGACTTTGTTGTGTCTTAATCTCCAAGGAACAACTGTTCCAAGTAGCACAAACACATTGCACTGTGGACCTGTGGAATCACGCTGCATGACAACAAGAGTCCTTGCCCTGTCGCCCTTGAAAACAGCTTGCCAAAACCATCTAGGATTTCGCTCTAAGGACCGCAAGTTAACTGTCAAAAGTTGGCGAATAGCTAAGGAAGCTTTCTAGGGGGGGGAAACCAATCAGCCCAAATCATTTATTGATTGCTTGGAGACTGTTTTGTACTTTCCCCCAAGACAGTTAAAGGCAATTCACATATTATGAGTTTAGGTATGAATTACAAAAAGTGTGACAGTTTTGAATAAGGATTTGAAACTACCTGCATCACACAGCTACTAATATGATGAAGTAGTCTCCTTTACACGAACCCTTAAACATTGCAAATTTGCAATGACTGCAAATCAGTCATTGAGGGGCCACAAGGCCCTTAGTTGTTTTGGTGGCACAGAATAGCATGGCTACAGTTCTGGAATTTGCCATGCCATGGTGGTTGCGGTTCCAACTGCAATTGGGGGAAAACTAAGACTTGTTTCTGTGCAATGTGTGTCCCATTGTTTGGAAGTACAGTATTGCTTGTTGAAACTTTTACACTTGAATTTTAAAATATTTTCTAGAAATGATCCCCATTGGTTTCAATAGAGTTAATTGAAAGATTCCAGAACAGACTGGCTCTGAATACAGTAAGAGTCATAGAAGGGGTATGCATACTGCCTCTCTGGCAACGATCTTCCCATGGAATGGAGTGGTTAAAACAAGGAATAGGGATATTCAGGTCTAAATTCCCTCTTTGCCTTGATATTTGCTAAGTTACATTAGCCAGTCAATTTCAGAGGGTAGCCATGTTGGTAGAACAACTAGATTTGAGTCCGGTAGCACCGATACATCTTTGAGAGTCAAGGTTCCCTTTGTCAGATTGGGGAGAAATGGTATCTGATGATCTTTGACTTTTAAAAGTTTATACTCCAAGGTGCTACTGGACTCACATCTAGCCATTAGTCAATATCTCATCCTGACTGACCTCACAGGGTTCTTTTGAGGCTAAAATGAAGGGTGGAAACCAGTTCTGCCACCCCATTTTCCTTGTAGGAGGCACAGGATAAAACCATAGTAGATAATGGGATGGTCTGGGTGTATGCAGTGTTCTACCAATTATAGACAAAGAGCTTTAAGGGTCCAGGAGTGAAGGTTTCACATCAAATATGGGGCTGAATGGTAGGCCGACTGGAAGGCACTTTTGAGTTTGCATAATTCGCTTTGTGGAAAATGGAAGACAACATTTGAAATTCTATCTGTGGTGGTAATGAAGACTACTGGACTTCGAAGGTAATGAGAGGAAAGACTGGAATTACATGCTTAAACCTCAGCTGCTGATGAGAAGCAACTTGCATCTTAAATGGACAAAGGTAATTAAAAGTGCTGTGAACAGCAAAGCATCTCTCTTCTGGAATACATTACATTAGGCTGGATCCTATAGTCCATTAATGAAGAGCGATCTCTTTGCCTTCTCCCTCCCTTTTCTGCATCTGCCCCCAAGACGCTGCTGAATTCCGGGACTCTTGAGAATGAGTCGGATGCAGTATTAAGGGCTGGAGCCTGAGTGGAAATTGGCAGAAATCTCATGCTTCTCTCTTCTACAATTTTTTCCAAAAACGGAGCAAGTGTTACACAAGAGGGGAAGAAACTTCTGCCATTTTCTCCTTCCTTGTTGGAGTCTCCTGAGCTGCATTCTGCTCCATTTCAAAGGGAGGGTCTTTTTAAGAAGCACGGGAAGAGGAAGGAGGAAGGGGAGGGGGAGATTCATCCCATAAACTCTTTGCACTCATGGTTGATAGGATCCAAACCATTAATTTTACTGGCTTTATCACACTGGTGAATTTAGTTCAGCAAGTTTTAAATTGTGTTAATTAATTTCAGGCTCCCGATAGCTCACAAAAGCCGTCCTACATGGAGAAATCAAAAAAGTGTTGTGAGGCATATACCTATTAGGACACTTTTAAGGTGTCTCTGTTGTATCTAATATGGTCTCTGCATTTTGAGCTGAAACAAGAGGGTGCTTGCATTGAGAAAGCCTGTTGAAGGGAAACAGGAGCCCCTACAAGACCCTAATTGTTTTTGCCTCCATGGGGTGTTCTGGAATTTGGAGAGAAGTGACCAAAAGATTCATCCATGTGAGTCAAAAATAGTTGGGCACATGCCCCAGATGTACATTCAGCCAGCCAGTTTCCTGACTATTACAGATTACAAAACCATTTCCCTCTTCATATAAAATATATATGTATGTGTAATGAAGTATTCCTGTCTATTTACTTGCGACAGATGGCTTTTCTGTACTGAAGAAGATTTTGGTGGTTTCCACACAGGGGACAGACTTCTGTGCTTTCCCCACTGATGCCGTGGCTGCTAATTCAATGCAGTGGCTATGGGGCTTCTACATGGCAGGTTTCTCCAGTTTCCCTGCCCCCAACCCCCAATAGCAATCATCCTTGCTCCCTTAGGCCACTCTGTTGTTGGGTTTTTTCCCCATTTTTAAAAAAGAAATCATACAATGAATACCTTTATATCTGTATAACGTCACAACAATCTGTGTATCAGGTTCTTGGAGTGCAGAGGAGGGCAACGAGGATGATCGGGGGCCTGGAAACCAAGCCCTGTGAAGAAAGGCTGAAGGACTTGGGAATGTTTAGTCTAGAGAAGAGGAGGTTGAGGGGGACATGATTGCTCTCTTTAAGTATTTGAAGGGCTGTCACGTAGAGGGGGGCAGGGAGCTGTTCCTGTTGGCAGCGGAGGATAGGATTCACAATAATAGGTTTAAATTAAGGGCGGAAAGGTACCGGCTGGATATTAGGAAAACCTTTTTCAACAGTGGAATAAGCTGCCTAGGGAGGTGGTGATCTCTCCCCCCCCCCAGCTTTCTTTAAGCAGCGTCTGGACAAACACTTGTCAGGGATGCTCTAGGCTGATCCTGCATTGAGCAGGGGGTTGGACTAGATGGCCTGGACAGCCCCTTCCAACTCTGTGATTCTATTATTCTAATTCCTAGTTTTCATTGTTTGAAAAGTAAGTCACACAGATACGCCTTTCTCCTTAGAGCTCTGCGACAAAAGGGGCTACAGGAATACTATTTTTGTTAAAAAGGTAGGAATCCAGAGAAGGTGTTTTACAGATTTTTGTAAATGTATACTGATATAACGATTCAACTGACTGTTGTGGCTTTTTAAAAAATAAAGAAAGAAATACCTCTGATGGGGGGGGGGGGGGAATGGCCACAATGGGAGCAGGGAAACTGACTGTCATATGGGTGGGGAAATCTGAACTTTCCCCCTCAGACAGCAGCCATCCAGGCTTTTTCCTGTGAGCTGTTCCAAAACTTCACAGAAAAGCAGGTTTGAGAAAGACTGGAGAAAAGCCAAGGAAGCATTGGGAGCTACACAAATGTACTATGATGCTGAGGGGAGACAAGGAAAAGAAAAACAAAAAAAACTCCCACAGCATTAGACCTGGGGCAAAAATAACTCATGTTGAAATCTCTTTAGAATTGTGTCTTATTACAATGCTACATTTTTCTCCAAAAAGATGCTGAACACAGAGGTTTATCTCTAAAAATAATCATGTAAACTCCTGTAGCCTCAGGATGAAGCTGCCCTAGAAAAATGTCTGACTGCCTTATTAAACCTTTCCCAGAAAGATCCTGCTCCTTTTTATACTGAAGGGCTTGGCTGCTGCTGTCCTCAACAGTTATTTCTGCAGGCTTGCCACTGAAATTAATAGGACTTCTTCCGGGACATCTGTATTGAGGGACTGCCACCCATATACCTAAAAGAACCTGACAGAAAAAAATGCACTCTGCAGCTGAAGCTGAATGTGCATGGTACAGTTCCCAAGCCCATCTTTGCCACTTAATGCTAATTTATGGAGGGGGGAAGGGTGTTGGTAGGCTGAAATTGACATGAAGGTGTGTCTCTCCCCAACTTTAAGAAAGGGTCACAGGGCAAAATCAATGATGGGAGAAGGGTTTAGAATATCACCTCTTTAGCTGCTCCACTGCTATGTTACTATTAACCAGCAAATACAGGTTTGGGGGATATATGTGTTGTCAAAATAACCTTATCCAAATTTCACATAAGAACCAGGTAGGTTAGATGAGGCGCCTAGTCCGTCTCGTTTAGCAACCAGATACCTCTGGAAGGCCTGCAGGCAGGGTACAGAGCCCCCAGTTGCCCCCAAGTTGTTGGTCTTCATAAAGTTATTATGGCTTGTTGTCATTGGTCAGCCTATTGGTCTAATCCTTTTTTAAAGCCAGCCAACCTAGCAGCTGCCACGACACCCTGTGGCAGAGAATTCCAATAACTAATTACCTACTGGATGCCAAAGTCTTTCATTTTGCAAGACCAGAATCTACTATCTTTTTGTTTGTTTTTTAGAAAGTGCAACTCCTGTTTTAGCTTACAGAGCGAGCCTGAACTTCCTTAACTCTGTTGTCAATGCTTTAACAAAATTATTTTGGATTTTCTTAGCAAGTCAAAGAAAATGGGTTTTTTTAATTATTCTTCTGTTAATTGCTGTGTTCGGTTTTAGTACCACATGCAAAGTACCAGATTTGTGACTTTCATATTGAGTTACAGCTTATGCAAGAACTTCCTTCTAATTTCATGGGTAGCTCCCATCTATCACATGCGAAAGCTTCAACTCTGGTATCTTCTTGGGTTAGGAAGTACATGGTGTCTCCACTGCTCAACCCTTGTGTTCTTCTTTTTCAGTATATACCCGTTGCTTCCTCATTGAAACTGTGTGACTGCAAGGGGGAATGCAGCTGTGAAGTAAGTAAGCCTCTTGTATTAACAAGTTCTTGATTTATTTGTGATACTGCTACTAATTTTATTCCAACACATATTTATATTGCTACTCAAATGACATGTAGTTGTTTTATGCTGTAACTAATGCTGTTGGTCTGTGCATATTTGTGCCATTTTACAATGAATAATTAGTCGATGACATTCTTTACCACACAATGTGGTGGTGGCCACTAGCTTAGAATGGTTTTTAAAAGGATAAGGCAAATTAATCAGAGAGGACAGGGCTATTAACCATTTACAGCTAAATGGTTAGAAGTAGATTACATCTGAATGTCAGATGTAAGGCATGTTTGGCTTGTGAGCCACCAGAACCATCTGCCTGTCCTATATTGTAAATGGAATCCTGAATTAGGCAGGTTTTAGGGTCAGACTAGAGGAAATGCTAGGGCTTTTATAATTGTGACCTGCCCTGTTTGTTTTTAATGTTCACTTAAAACTGGAGAACAGTACAAGCTGGGGAACAGAGGAATTAAATCAAATTGAGACCACAGTGCTTGGGAAGGGTTTTCTTTAAAAAGCATTCTTAGAGTGCTATGTTCTTGCAAGGAATGCAGAGAGGGTGATAAAGAGGGGAAACTATTCTGGTGCGCCCAAGACTGCAGGATCCCAACATATTTCCTAAAGTTAGTGGACAAATGAAGTTGTACCTATCAGACCTTTCACCTTTGACATTCAGGGTATTGGCTTACGTAGTCAAACAAGAAGGCTGTTTGTTTACCTAGATGATTGGCATTTATCTATATATCTAATTTCCAAGTCGACCCCTGGTGTGTGGATGCTTAAATCCGCACATCGGGGGGACCTGGGGGGGAGGGAGAGGTTTGTGCGCATGTGGGCCGGTCCCCACGTGTGCACAAAAATCCCAAACCTGGAAAAAAAGATGGGGGGATGTTTAAATCCCCCCGAAACTCATAGAGCGTCCCCTGTGCATGCGCAGGGAACGCTCTGCGGCCGCCACGGCCGCCACTTGGGAGGGAAGCGGCGAGCAGGGGGGGGCCCAAAGCGGCGACGTCCGAGTGGCTCGACGCACGGCCCTCCCTTCAGAGCCGGGGGGAAGAGAAAAAGCCGGCGCCGCTTGGGAGGGAAGCGACGAGCGGCGAGCAGGGAGGGGGGCCAGAGCGGCAAGGGCCGAGCGGCTCGACGCACGGCCCTCCCTTCGGAGCCAGAGGGGGAGAGAAAAAGCAGCCACCGCCGCTTGGGAGGGAAGCGGCGAGCAGGGGGGGCAGAGTGGTGACGGCCAAGTGGCTCCCCGCTCGGCCCTGCCTTCAGAGCCGG